GTCAAAAAGCATCGAAAATTACAAATACCCATAAATAACTGAAAAAAGCCAATTAAAAGAAGTAAAAAAAAGAAAATTTACTAGTATAAGTATATTCCGTGAAAATTTCTGGTCACTAAGGTTATTTTTAACCGAATTCCAAGAAAAAATAAAAAGAACTGATACTGGGGATGGGAGCACCCACTGTTGTAAGGTGAGAAGTTGGGAAGATAGGACAAATGAGGTTATTTCATTTATATCTGTAAGCAACGATAAACGATTGCTTGACGAAAGACGATTCCGAGCGCAGTTCGGTAATACATAACGTGATGTGTAATTTTTTTAAGATTTTCGTTTAAATTCGATGTCAAAACGCTTATTAAAAAAAAAAAGTCGTCCGATCATTTTGGAAATTTTACCATATCTAGGCAAGTCCAATATAAGTATTATTACCAAGTTTCAAGTCTCTACGTGTATTTATAACTGAATTACAGCAAAAAAGGTATCGTGATGTTTTGATTAAATCATTTTTTCTGGTAGGAAACGTTCGTGTTTTTATAAAATAATGAAATCATGAAATACAACGTTTTTCTACGTTTATTCCCACTTAAGTGCTTTTATTTAAAAAATGGCGTCAAAAATCAAAAAATGATCTCTTTAAAGTACCATTTAGATAATTTGAGCTTTCATAAAAACTGCTACATGTAAAAATCGGATTAGGTTTACTAGGAAAAAACGTGTCCATAAATTAGAAAAAAAAATAAAATAAACATCTTAGTAAAACTAATAGATCTCTCGCTACGCTCGGAATCTAAAACAAAATCGATAATGTGGTATTTACTATAAATTTTTTCAATTTTTCTTAATTATTAACGAAATTACAAGGGAAATCAAAAAAGGAACTTCACATTTTTAAAATTGACACACAGGAAATAACTCAATTCAATTTTTATCAGACGTTAAGATTCTTTTGGCGAAAATAACGATACTGCCAATGGCGTAAACGTTACCGGTTTTTTCCAATTTATTATTGAAAACACTATAAATAAAAAATAAAAAATTACCTTCCCAATGCTACATAGGAGAAACTAGACCACAAACTTTGGGTGTGCTAAAATTATGGACACATCAAAGACCTATGGGGGTTATGCCCCCCGCATACCCGTTTACAAGGCTATATTATAATAGGCGACTACATATTACTATAAAAATGATTTCGTTATTATGAAAAAGTCGATTGGTGGTTTTTTTGGGGGGGAGGGGGTGCTAATTTTAAACTTGAGGGTGTTAAAGACATCCTAGCACCCCTCTAGTTGCACCTATGCCAATGCACAAATCAGATCCAAAACGCAACAAAGGTCTCTAGCCTCTTGTTTACCCGCACACAAAATAAAAAGTAAAAAATAGCACACATCATTGTAAAACCGATACATTCCTCCGCTCAGAATCTAAAAAGTCACATACCATAGTTAAATTTAAACATTTTTCAATATAACACACATCTTATATAAATATCAAACTGTTTTAAACCACGATGATTTTATGTTTTTCAAATAAAAACAACGTTGCTCAGTGCAAGTTGAAAGTTCTCTTCTTTTGGGCGGTAAACATTTGGTTTCTGAGTATTAATAAAGACTACATTTAAGCGGTTCTCGACCGCTCGAAACGGTGTTTCCATAATTTATTACGCTTCGTTGAGCGTAATGCAGTAATTTTTGTTATTCATAAACGTTTTGAGTTCAAATATTGACGAAATCGTAAAATTATTAAACTAATAAACTCCGTAATATGTATGACTAAATCTTTTCCGATTTCCATCTGCAACAGCGGCACATCCGTCAGCAGTACCGGCTCTTTTTTTTTTTTTTTTTTTTTACACTTGATTTCGTATTATATTTTATTAGGTATTGCGACATAGTGCAGTACTGCGCATTGGTCTTTTTGAATATCGGTATTATAATCGAATTGACATTTTTCAATGTATTATTGCATAAACCGCTATTGATAATAATCCCGTATTATAAATACTAAACCTTTTATGAACATCATAATGACGTGTAGAGGGTATTATATTTGTTTTTCTCTTCTAATTCTACCAAAAATTTATTCACCTAAATACTATACCGTGTACCCGTGTACGCTGCACCATCGCCGCGTTGTACATCGCAATCTAATTTATAAAATATGCGCATACCTACCTATAATATAAGGTACGTGAAGCTTCGCAAAGTTCAGCATCAAATTATTAGCGAAGTTATTCAACTTTTAAATCTTTGGCACCGAGTATACGAAAAACTTGCTATACTTGGCAAAACTCAATTGACATTGTACACACGGATCTGTTGGAATTGTTGATCATAAACAAAAGCTACGTTTACAAAAGAATATATAGTGTTGGGCGTTTCAGAAATACTCTGATATTGTACTTCGGTAGGATTAAATAGAAATTTACTTTGGACGAGCCGTTATGAAGTTTATACTTGACGATTTTGCGCGTTTTCGTTTTGGGCAAAAAGACGCGTAGTGTTTAGCCCTCCAGTACATCAGAACTATAAAATACATCAAATAATTTGTTATTGATTTCTATAAGTTATTTAGACAATCATATTATATGAAATTGAATATGATAAAAAGTGTTCAACCTACCATTACCTGACTTTAACCAAATTTTTACCATAAAAAAGACAAATCTGTCCATTTGCACTACGTCCGTGTTGATTTTTACTTTGTCGAAATGACACATATTCTATATTTTAAACTATGATAGTTTAAAAAAAATAAAAAAAAAAAAAAAAACAATGTACAGTGCAAGTTAAAAGTTCTTTTCTTTTTGTAGTAAACATTTTGGTTTCTGGGTATTAGAAAACACAATTTAAGTGGTTCTTGACAGAATTTTTACGGCCAAGTCCACCCAAATCATACCAAATCTACTAATGTTTTAGAAAATAAATACCTTTCGGGAATAATCTTGACCCTCCACCAAAAAATATACACCACTGGTCTTAATCAGGTATTCTCTAAAATTACTATAATGCCGCGATAGTAGCGTATGGTTTTTTTTTTTCTATGGTTTATTTTCAGTCAACTACAAAAACCTCATAAACAAAACAAAGTCCATAAAAATCTGAAGGTATAGTTTAGATTACTATAGACAGTAGTCGTTTCTGTACTTTAATTACCTCGTAAATATATAACATATCTTGTGATTGAGTGCCACACATACACCCGCCTAATTTGGTCATAAAGTAACTGCTTCTTAGGATACCCATTCACACCGCCACAATCATGGCGCATTATTTGATTATTGATAGGATTCGGAAATCCTAATTCGGAAATTGTCTAAGAAATGAAACGTGTTCGATCAATTGAAAATTACTGTAGGGTTATTTTGTTTCATCGATATTCTATAATACGAGGAAAATTGTTATGTTTACATAGATAATTTTAGGGACCTGCCTAAGGGATTTTCTCCAAAGTCGGTATTTAAGCGGATTTTTGGTCCGAGTATCATTTTTTTTTTAGGATCGATTAAGGGAGGGTGTCTGGGACTTAGATGTTTTCCTTGCAATAAGAAAATTGATTTTTTTTTTTTCATTTATTTCTACAGGGTTCTCTAAAGGATTATACGGACGGACAAAGTAGTTGGAGTGTCCATAAGACTTGACCGTGTATCCATCCGTTTGGACATGAAAAACTGCTGTAAAACAATGTCCTCGCTGAGACGATTAAGACGATGGTAAGCGAAGCTTGGAAAGCTAAGACTTGAAAAGACCATATTTGTAAAGGTAAAACTTGGAATGGCAATATTACGAGTTTTTATCTTTCGGAATTTCGCCATTCCAAGTTTTGCGGATCCTAGTTTTGTAATTCCGAGTTTTTTGCTGCGTTTTCGATTTAGGTTTTGAATTGAACATAATAGAAAGTCCATATCCATTGTGTTCATAATTATTATTTGTAAAACGTATCGAGACGATAGCCGGCGACGGGGAAAATCACCGTGCAACGTTGTCGAACAGCCCGCCGAACCGCCGATAATGTCGTCGGTGATTGTGGCCAAGTGTCGGTTGTCCAGGGTACTGCGACGCGCGACGACGATCGTAGGCAGGTCTCCGGATCGTAACCGTCGCCGCGCGCTGGCGGAGGTCGACCGTGTTCCCAGCGGACGTGTCGAGTGTGCACGTCCCGCACGGGTCGCGCTTTTCCAAACGTCGTCGATACCGCCGCGCCGTCGGCGGGTGTGCGGTGTTTCGGAAAGAGAGAGAGAGAGACAGACAGGCAGACAGATAGATAGAGAGAAAGAGAGAGAGAGCGCGAGAGGGAGGGAGTGAGAGGGAGAGAGAAATAAACGCAACGCAACGCCGACGACGATATTATAATAACGCGGATAAAAAAAAAAACCCAGGCGAACCGCAAGGCGGCGGCAGCGGCAACGCTCACACGGTTAGCCGCGTCGCGTGTGGGTCGTCGGGTGAACGGGCGACGGGCATAGGAGGGTCGGGCGAACTGGTTGGCACGACGGCCAGGGCGAGCGGGCGGGCGGTCGGCGTATTTGTACGATATATTTTATTATAACTCTCTCGCGAGCGAACGAGCGCGAGCGCGCGCGCACGTATATACGCATGCACACAACACAACAAAATATATATATTATTGTTGTACGCGCCGTACACACAGCGTGCGACGGCGGTTATAGAGTCGGGCGACGCGGCCGGCGGCTGTGTCCAAGGGCAAGCGTCTCGTCTGCTCCGCCGGCTCGCACACGGACACGGACGCACGCACGCGCCGCGATGGTCCGCCGGCTAGGCAGCGACGGCGGCGCGGCGGCACGCACGCACCGCGTCAACATGGCGGCCGGCCGACCGACCGAAACGCCGCCGTCGCCACCGCGCCCCCCTCCCCCTGGGCCCCGATCGCGTGCAGCTGCCGTCGTCAAACCGAACGCTCCGTGACGCCGCGACGGCGGCGGCAGCCCTTCGTCGCGGTCGTCGCCGCGCCGCCGCCGCCACGGCCACCAGTTGTTATCCATGCCGTCGCCAGCGAGCACGCCGTGCGCGAAACGACGACGACGCCGACGAGCGATCCTGAACCACCACCACAGCCACCACCACCGAGAACAGCAGCGGCAACAGCCCGAGGACTTGCATTACAACGACGACGTTAGCGTTGTCGCGCTAACACCGGCGGACACCACCTCGTCCATAATATCGCCGTCACCCGCCGTGGCCGCAGCCGCCAACACGGCGTCGTCAACCGCGTCCGTCGTGGCCGCCGCAATGGCGTTCGCCAACGAGACCAACATCGACCTGATCATGATCAACAAGATCAAACAGCACCAAGTGCTCTACGACACGGACGAGGACCAGTACAAGTACATCGACAAGAGGGACAAGGCGTGGAAAGAAGTGTCCGACGAACTTGGGATGCCCGGTAAATATGCCTGTTACTACTGTGATAAATTGTTGTGTAACATATAAAGTTTAAGTATGATCGCGGTAAGTTCTGGCGGTAGTGTTCGGTTACGGTCATTTGCATACAATGGGCCGGGCGCGTTTTTGTGGATCGCCGGCACCGGAAGAATTTTCCGTTCGCGCGGCATTGTTCACCCGGTTAAGGAGCGAGAAAACGCGTGCGAAGTTGCGGGTCAACGGCGCCGTTGGTGGGAGAAACACATGTTGCAGGGGTTGTTTTGCAGTACGAAATAACAACAATAATAATGCCCCCACCGCGCGTAGCGGTGGCGGTGTAGGCGGAGCGGGCGGTGGCGGCGGTTACGGCCGCCGACGACGCCGCCGCCGCCGCCGCCGTTGTCGTTGCGACTCGCAGGCCGAGCGCCGATGCGCGTACCTATGTCCGCGCGGCGCGCGGCAAAACGCGGACGGGATTTTCGGTGCTGCAACGCGCGCGCGTCTCCTTTGTGTTTGACGTAATGTGCGTGTGCGAACGTCGCGGCCGTCGTTCGTGCGGTTCGGTCGGCCGAGCGGGGTGGGGAAATGCAGTAGTCGTCGACACGACTGATAGAGAGGAGAAACAAAACAAAAAAAAAAAACACCGCGCGACCAAACCGGATGGGCCGAGCGGTTTGATGACCGCCGACGCGCACGTATTTTTATTACGCCCGCACGACGACGACGTTGTCGGCGCGGCCGCGATACGGCGGCGGACCGGCGCGCCGGCCCGGCCCAGTGTCGCCAATCTTATAACGTCGCGCCGGGCGCGTTCGGCGTATACGGCGCGCGGCGGACCGTTTCGCCGGGCAAAGGGGGTGAAAACTCCACCGCCACCGGTTGCCGCGCCGTCGTCGCACCGCCGCCAGCGATACGCGCCGGCAACGTCGTTTCTGTGCCGGAACGCCACCGACGACGACGACGACGAGCGCGCGCGCCTCGCAGCTAATAATTTCTCCGCAACGTTCGCGTTTCCCGCACCATAAAACAACAACAATAATAATATTGCAGTACGCGCTATTGTCGCCGTCGTGACCCGTAACCCCCGTAACCCACCCGCCGTCGTATGCCGGACAACTCTTGCGAAAACCCTTTGCGCCGACCGCCGAACAGGCTATTTCTCCTCCCGGTTTTCCCGATGCGAAAGGGGCGTTTGTTTTTTTTTTTTTATCGGGAACTTTCGAGGATTTCCCTTCGGGAATTATTCGAACATTGCGAAAATCTCGAGAGATCTCGTTATTCAGAGTGTCCCCTATACGCATACCCGTTGCGGTATTTCCCGAGATAACGGCGATATCGCAACGGTTACGTGATACCGCTAATCCCGACTAATAAAATACATCTCGGCAGCCCAAACGACCCGTTAGCCGGAATAATTTTGCAATTTCACGTATCCACTATTCGGGGTTGTACGTACAATTTCGCGGTTTTTAATTTTTCGTTCGAAAAGCCGGGGTTGTAGGTGCGTCCCTTCGCGGTGCCTGTGCCGTAGGGGTGGAACAAATTGTGAGCCACCACGAAACATTTTCGAAAAATCCCCCGTGATAATGAAAACGCGTCGCGGGCGAAAAATCACTGGTTATCGGGGTCATTTTTTTTTTATTATGGTCTTTCGGTTAGCGGTACCGATCTGAGAGGAGATTTTGATCAGAATTTGTTGTCGATTGGAGGGACGGAGGTTCGCGCACTATTGAATCGTTTAACGATCGCATTTGCAATATTCTCAACATTTTACTTTTATTCCGTACACGATGTACATGTTATAATATCAAGTTTTAGCACCCCCTTCCCTCTTTCGAACCGTTTTCGAAAAGAAAATATTATTCTAAACAATTTAATACGCATATAATAGTAATATTTGGATTTATCGTTGACGAATTGTAACGCGGTTCTAAAATTTAAACCGGATGTTTAGGAAAGGGTTTTAATTGTCAAAACGCATATGAAATGTATTTGGTGACCGGAAGGAGGGATTGCCATTTGAAAATCAAAAGTCAATATTCATTTGAGGCGCAAGGAGTAGGGGTAAATATTTGGAAAAACTAGTGACAGGGATAATAATGCTCGAGCGATTTCAATACTGATGAAATAAAAAAAAGGACGGCAAATTTACGTCCACCGAAATAATTTCGTGCTAAATAGTTTTAAAATTACAATGAATTCGCGTGTTGTCAAACTTAGAAATAAGTGAAGAACATTATCCGTGTTTGTACGTTGGTATTAGGTTCTGGGCAAAGCGTAAAAAATATATTGGTTTTATTGTAAAAAATGTTGAGGCCGTAAACAACTTTTCCATCGGAAATCTTGATCCGATCAAAACATTTATAATTATTTCCTTGTAGCATTTTCCGTGTATAATCGGTGCGTCGAGATTGCTATTTTTCGACGCGTGTCTCGTTGTTTTCCTAATAAATGGGAAAAAACCGGCAAATTTTTTTTAATTATATTTGTTAATTTCTTTGGCGCCGAATTGAAAAAATTGCGTCTAATAAATACTCTGCTCAAAATCGTTTTTCGTTATCCCAACCATGCTTACAAATATACATTAAATTACTCTATATAGTATATGTATATATTCTCCCTCCCGACTTCCCTCTTAAAACCAGTTGCGTGTGCGCAACACTTATCAGCTGCAGTATCGGTCTTCCCCCCTGTTATTTTCATTTTTAGGCGAGCGAAAACGACTTAAAAACGCTTGTATCGATAAATAATAAAAAAAAAAAAGGGGTCGTAATTATACTGAAAATAGTATAAAAAAAAAAAAAGTAGGATAAGTCATTTTTCCCGTTGCGGTTGGTGATACCGACATTTACTGTCTCGGTTTGACTGACGAGGGACATCGTGAAAGTAAGTTACTCGCCGCGTAAATTGCTGCAGGAGTTTGACCGCAAAATTTAAAGAGGGCCGTACGTACAGCAGTAATCGAACAAATTGCAATACGATAAAGTATAATAGCTATTCAAAAGAAAATAAAAAAACCAAACTAACATATGTTGTGAATTTTTCGAATGAAAATATTTTAGAAACATAACCAATATACGTTTTATTTAGAAAATATTCATTGTTGATTTTGTTATTTGTGTTGTTTAAACTTCTTAATTTAACCTAATCGCTACCGTTCGTGTTTAGGCGACGCAATTTTGCTACGTCGTCCATCAGACGATGTGGATGCGTCTTAATAATGAAAATAACTAACCGGACTGGCGCAAACACCGATAATGTTCGTTAACTTGGGTTTCTTCGATCATAATTTCGCAAACTTTTTCAGCGCCAATAATAATCGATTCCTGCATTGAACCTTCCCGATCGTCATTTTATATTGCCGCCTGTTCTACCCGTTTGCCGGGATCGTCGGACTTTCCCCGGGTGGAGACGACTACGATAACAACTATTAACAAATGAAAACGTATAAAACAGTATACAATTTTTATACTCGCCCGATATAAATAAATATGATAAAAATACGAGTTCTAATAATAGCCAAAAGAATATTGTGAGATAAAATAATATTTTTATCGACTCGAATAATAATTGGACTACGCCAGAGGCGATTTAAAAGTATTCAGCTATTTAATGATGCAAGACACGTAGACACATTATCGAATCTAGTTTGGTCTCCGTCAAAATTGGTTTCAAAATATATTTAAAACCGAAAAATAAGTTATTACATAAAAAAAATGATACCTATATTGAGTATAAAGCAGTCGATATTTCATTTTAGATTCTGTGAGCAAAGCGAGGAATGTATTGGTTTTAAAATAGTGTTTATTTATTTTTTTCTGTGCACAACTTTTCTACCAGAAATCTTGTTCTATAGGCGCCTTTTCTGGATGGTACTTTAGGAAATCAATTTTTTTTTTTAAATTCCAAGCGGTTTTCATAATAGTTGTGTAAAAACGAAAAATTTACGAAAATAATGCTTTTATTATCAGTAATTTTGTTTTTTTTGTTGTTGTTGTAATTCAGTTTAAAATGTTCTTAGGGACTTGACATTTGGACAGAAGTCTTTTCTAGGCGTGGTCAAATTTTTAAAACATTTGAGCTATTCATAGAAATTTTATTTTACTAGTTTTTTAAGTTATTTTTATTCGGTTAAATAAAATTGTTAGATCAAATAGCTTGAGAATTTAACGAGAGTTTCATTATAAGTTTTACTTTACTGATCAACTCGAAAAAATTGAGTTTAATGTAGTATTTATTTATTTATTTTTTTTTTATTATAATTTTAATATCAAATATTTACGATTTATTAAACATGTTCTAGAATCTAGAACATGTTTAATCGAACCCCGCTCAGAATTGTTTTTCGTTAGCAATAAATTATCGTTGGGTACATTCAATTTTCTGCTATGTCCTATCTTTCCAGCTTTTCGCCTACATCAGTGGCCCACCTGTTGTGCGATGTATGTCTGTCTTTAAAAAAAAAAAAGTTAAATATTAACAGCTTTAAAAAATCCGTTGAACATGGAGGGACACCTTGTATGAGTACTTAGATAATGGTTTAACGTTTTGTGCATTTTCTACCTAAATCCACGCGTTTTGATTGCAATATTAAAATAATGTTCAAAAATTTAAAAATCTAATATTATATTGTATAATGTAATATTTTTCAATATTGAAATTATAATACGAGCCCATAAGTAACTCCGATGCTATGCATTTTTTCAATAGCTAAAATATTTGATTCTGTTATGAATTTAATAAAGTTTTTACGAACTGACCTTTTGTTCATTTGTATAACTATTAGCCAGGATTTAAAAAAATTCAAACTCTACCCGAGGAAGACTGAGTTTGTCGGCGAACAGATAGGGGAGGGGGAATTGTAAAAAAGTGGTCGGCAATTCACAGCAATCGAGCACTAATTATTAGCGCTAAAAAAACTGTGAAATTTACATTCGGAGTGGGAGGGTACGTTTTCACGGTAACAATAAGTTCGCTTCAGTATTGAAACAAACGACGCGAAATCTAACGGTCCTGACGAATGTGAAATTGCCACGTCGTGAGTTTTTATATGTCACGGATAGACGACACATTTACGTCCTTGCGGTAAACCCTGAAAATCGTCAAATTGTGATTACAAAGTATAAAAATTCCATGCGTAATACCCTACCGTGTGATTGGAAAAGCATTTGTAATGTGACGTAAAAACACGAAAAGATGTCGGTTTTTTTTTTCTTTATTATTGTTAGTGTACGTATTTTCTTTTGTCCCTCCCCCCCTCGCGGTTTATAACGTTATCATCGTATTAATTAATGCGTCATCCGATTCGAACGAATCGATTCAAAGATTATGATAATATTATTTTGCCGTTTGGTGACTTAATTGTTTTCGATTTTCATCGAGAGAGCAGTGATCGAGCGTATATAATTAATTTCTAGAGTTACTAGCGGAGAGGAGAGACTTCTGCTACGTTTAACAAATATTATCATGTTTACGTTTTTTTTTTTTTTACGAAACGATAATAATGTGCTATTACGAAAATAACAATTTTCTTATACAAATTTCAGAACCGACGTAAAAGTATAATACAATATTTGAAACATTTTTAAAAAGAATTTAACGACGCGCGCACACGTTTCTCTTCGAATTAGGAACGTATTTATAAGGGGAGGGAAGGAAATTAGCTCCGGGCGCCGCAATTTTCCAGGAAGGGCGTCTTAATCTTTTAAGGCATCGTAAAATGGTTATTTTATAATATTATTTATTAATTATTGTCGCGATAAAATAGATTTTATCGCGTTAATAATTATGATCAATAATAACAGACAATTGACTTAAATATTAATTTGTTATTGGAATAGAAAATTTTTGTTTTCGACTCTTTATTGCAGTTTACATTCGCTCGGCAGGCTCTAGAAATGTGTGTTTCATAACAGTGTTTCTCAACCGGAAGGGGGGGGGGCGGTCGCCAACTAATTATTTAGAGTCGCCATAATTATAAAATATTAGGTCGTCGTGTATAAAATATATATTTAAGGGTTGCTAAAAAATTAAATATTCATTTATGGGGTCGTGACAGTAAAAAGGTTGAGAAACAGTCTTAGAACACAAAGCGCGCTATATACAAAGAGTCGTCATATGTGCAGCTCGAAATGCCAGTGTGTTGTAAACAAAAAAATGATTTTTTACATGGAACGGTCTTAAAGGAATAATGGCCCAGTGTACCAAAAGTAGAAATGCATCTCTGTTTTGCATTCGTCTTATGTGGGATATTATTTACATTTTCTTCTAGGAGTAGGCTAACATTTGTCGTCAAACAAAGTCGCGACAACGTAGACCCCGACTCCCAGTTGGTCACCCAGCTATTAAAATAAAATAAACTATTAATATTTCATGATAAAAATACAGGTAAACTTTACCAGCGGCACAAACAGAAATTATTTGGGTGGAAGGAGGGGGGCGTTACGAATTCCAAACAATTTTGGCTTTTAGGATAGTAAATTACTAAATAGGTGAAATGCACGACGTGCGTGTATTCAAAATTACAAGAAAATGTCCGGAAAATTGTTTCACAAATTATTCAACTATATAATAATACCTATACTATACTATTAATTGGCGGATGTTATACTCAGCGGTGGATCCGGGGGGTAGGCGATATTGGCGATCACCCCTCCCCCCTGGTTATATTGTTCTGGATCTGTCCCTGATTACACTTGAAGCGGATCTCTGATTGCGCTGTGTAACAGCTGCGCCATAATATAATATTATTTTTCTTTTTTTTTCTTCTACTTCTGGCCTTTATAACTCTGAGAGTTTTTACCGTCAATACAACACTACGTCACCTATCCCTGTCATACACCATCTCTCTACGTGTCTATTACCATAATCCTTAGGTCTTTTTCAACTACATCGATCCTTCTACATTTTTTATTTGGTCTTTTTTCTGCGTGGTTTACATTTTTAATACGTATGCGAGGTTGGTTTTATCATCGTTACGTCATCAATCTTATTTTAGTTTTTCGGGAGAGGAGTTTAGAACTAAACAGTTTTATCAACGTCAATAACTTTTTTTCTGCCTTAATAACGCGAAAAATGCCCATTTTTTTTTTCTGATAATGTTACCTAGTTAATGAAATAAGTCTCCCACATTCTCGCTAATTGCTTTATTATTATCGACGATTATAATCTGTACATATTAAAGTAATTATTAGTAATTGAATATGACGAAGAAGTTAAACGCAAAGAAATCCTCTGCCCTTCGTGAAATTTCTGCCTTACACTTCCGCGTATTTAAATCTGACGTTAATGATCGCCACTGATATGAGTATTTTTTTGGGAGTATTCACTGCGTGTCCATTCCTTCATCTCTTAAAGCTCCTCGAGCAAATATACCGAACTTTCCCCATTAACTTTTGTACATTCCCTAATTACTCATCCCCCCCCCCAATAGTGAGAATATTTTCTATAGAAAATATAATATTTTGTTGCAAAATATACTAATTCAATCGTTTGCGATTTATTTTCTAGTGGACACACAATATGCAAAATCGTACACTATACTGTGTGTCCATTTGTGCTCAGAAATCCTTCTTAAAAAATGCTAATTGAATCTGTCAAATAAACACAACTAAATTAATACCCACACAGTTTTAGTAATATTAATCACTTCTCTTGTTTATAGTACTTGAAACCGTGTGTGTATTGGTGCAGACAAACTATTAAGACCGTGCATTTAGTACAGTAGGTAATTGCTTTGTTAGGAGCGAAATAAAAAAAAATAATAATAATAAAAATCAACCGTATACAAATCATCATAAGAATAATCGTTGAAAATTAAATATCCAATTACGGTACAACAATGGAAAAAATCCCGACATACTTGTTGCCCAGTAATCAACGGAAAAAAATACTGATGTACTGTAATTTGTTTTCGGTGTTTTTATTTTCTGGAAAATTTATTTCAAATAAACACAATACATTTTAAATCTGAATATTTCTACGTGCGAGATGTGAACAATTCGTAGTGTTTCCCGAGAAGCAAAAAAAAAAACCACATCTTAGCTTATACACATCATATATTATGATCTAAATATCTTGGTAAAACTATATTATAATAGCATCTTGGCTAAACTCAGAATCGAATAAAATAAATTATAATAATACGTGTTCTTGACAATTTAACGATGCGGTTGAATTGGCAATTCCTACTGCAGTAAATTTACCCGTTTGATATTTTTACCCTTAAAAGTACTACACTACTGTCAATTGAATTTAGCTTCCTCGACATTTTAAAACGTTACGCGATTTATACCAGTCGCACAAAATTATTTACAAAATTACAGTTCCTCGTGGCTTATAATATTATATGGTTGGTCTATTGGTAATTATTAGGACTCGGAAATTTTTTTACTTAAAATCCATAGAAAAGAAATAAAAACGCACTAAAAAATAACGAAAAAAAAAGGCGTATTTTTTTAGAAGTCTCCTCCCTTTAAAGGCTCTAACTTACAAAATACAATTTTCGAACACTACAAAAATAATAAACACAAGTTTTTAAGTAAGTGAGTATTAAAAAAAAAAATAATAATGTTAATCGTTTTGTAATATTAGAAAATTGAATTTAATGGTTAGGGTCATTATATGGTGGGGATGGGTGATAAAAGATACTTCTCTTAAGTCTCTTCTCTTCCTGTGTTATTTTTTATATAAAAAAAAAAACTGTCAAGGCTCTTCTTTTGACGTTTTTAAGTGTTTTTCTATAGATTTTAAATGCATAAAGTTCCGAACCCTGCTAATAATATTATATTCATATAGGTATGTGTATTGAAATCTATAGGTATGTTATTTTGAAAATAAATAATTTCCGGATATTATAACTTCAGTTTGGTGCCTGGTCATTTTTTTTTTTTGGGGAACCATTCCACGGTCGTCCTATTCAAATAATATAGTCTCGGGTGGACAAACTGTTAGGTTAGGTTATTGCACATTGAATTTCATACCGTAACCTCATGAGAGATTAATCAGCACTATATAGTACTGTATGTTTACAATACTGTGTGTATAGTAAATTTTTTATAATAACAAAAAGAAAAAAAAGATATCGAGCAATACAATTTTACTGAACGACGGTTTTTTTTTTTTTGGTTGGTTCTAATTTTTAAACGTAAATTAAAAAAAAAAAAAAAAAAAACAAACGAAACAAAACAAATATTTGCTCTGTAAACGACTGCGTCATCGTTCGTCCATATTATTCGTGTACATTATATTACCTAATGCATTTTACGCGTGCATATTTGTAGGTTCGCAATTTCGTGTACCTACGTTTAAAAAGACGGACACATTTCGCACGATGGGTGGACTACTGTTGTAGGTGTGACGTTGGGAAGGTAGAGGATACGTAGGGGAATTTAATGAATAAATGTACGCGCAACGGTTAATCTTTGTTAACGAAAATTGATTCTGAGCGGGGTTCGGTTATACACGTTTTAAAAGGCCTTAATATTTGCGATTTTTGTCAAAATTTGATATTGAAAAAAAAAAAAAATACCACATTAAACTCAAATTTTTCTTGTCGACTTTTTTAAGTACGACTTATAATGAACCTACTGTTAAATGTTCAAGCGTTTCTATTTGGTCTAAAAATTTTGTTATTGGCAGAAAAAAAATTAAACATCATTGTAAAACCAATATATTCTTCTTGCTTCGCTCTTATCTAAAATGTAAATATTCGAATACTTACCGGAAAAATTAAACATTAAACGTTAAACGAGAACTTATGCAAGTTATGCTGTGTGATGATTAATATGTAACACATACTTTAATTATTAAAATATAAAATACAAATTAATTAGCTACAAATATACTATAATTCTTTTTCGTACTTTCGATTTAAATACTTCTAGATTTAAAATTTACATCTAGAACAAACATTATTGCACTAAAATTAAAGACAGAAACGTTTTATATGTTTTCAAAGAGAGAATTTTAATATTATAAAATGTTCTTTTTAGATGAAATAATAATTTAAAAAACACAATTTGTGTTTTTGAGTTAGAATAATCCACGAAATCTGATATCGAAAAATACCCCTTTGAAAACCTAGGAAATGTTGTCATTTATTTGGTGAAATAATCTCTGTTTTAGGTTTATTAGAAAATTATTATGGAGACTGTTGGTAGAGGTACGAAAACACAATTTTGGTATATTGTCCGTTATAGATAATGACAGACACATCTATAATCCTACAGTGACAGATGCGAATTTCCGCTCGATGGTATACTTACTTTGAAACATTTATCGAAATTTAAAATACTTTTGCTAAAAAATGGCATAGTATTTTTTCCCGGAAAACACTATTTCTGTTAGGCAGATATAAAAAATCAAAAAGCTTTGATTCTTTCACGCGGTAGCCTAAAGCACTAAAAGACTCGACATTTTTGCCCAGTGTTACCATACGTTATTTTCATACGAAATTTGCGTACATACGCGTCATAAACATAAATTTTCAATTGTGTATATTTCCATAATATTTATCTATAATTTTCAATGAATTTCTATACGATTGCGTTTAAATGTTTTTCGCGTTTACATAATATAATCCTCGAGGCGTCGAATCGATTCGCTGCCATCCCGGGGACTTTAACGATATCTGTATGAATATAAACGTAATGTTCGTGATTAGTACGTGACTATTGTGCATATTAAGTATATTAATATGGAGTAAACCTTTTTTTTTTTTTTTTACGGCGCATATATACAACACACTGCAGACAATTTATAAAAATAATTTAGCTAAAAGATAAACGTAAGAAAAAAAATACTGATTTTAGGAATAGAGGAACTTCAGAAAATCAGCGAGCGAAAATTCTACAAATAATATAAGTTAAAAAACTTATTTTATAAGTTTGGAATTGAAACATGAAATTAATTATATACCGTGGACTTAATAAAAATACGAGAAATACCTTTTGTTTCGCTTGTATAAAACTTAACAATTGAATAAACTTTACTAAAGAACAAATGTCGCACTCTTGCAACGGACCTATACATTATTTTTGTGAAAGTAAAACCTCTCAGCACTAATTCGTGACCATAATTATAATAATTCTAATCGTATTGGTATATCATTGTTGTTGCGTACCAATGTTATGATCACGGTGTATACCCATGCGATTTTACGTGTGGATAAGAATATACGTTTTGTAGTATACCTACTGTTGGTTTTGAATGAGATCGCTATTTGCAATATTCAAAGACTAATCGCTTTATAGATAACGTAAAAATATAACAACCGAAGCAGGGAAAAAATTCGGGGGTAGCCAACCTCCCTAGTCTTTCCCGCTGAATTTTTTTTTCAAAAATACAAGGTGTTAATATTTTCTACGAGCGCATTAAAATAATAATTTAAAAATTAAATAAATGAATTAATCCGAACAGTAATATTTAAATGTTAGTTATGAATTTTGTTTAGCTGCAAATACAGTTTATCGGGGGTTATGTACTTTACATTAGGTAAATATTACATACTTAGGTATTTTGGGTTTGTTCGATAATGGTCAATCGCTAATTAGTTGTAAAAATATATTGCTAAAATATATTGCCCAGGAGCAACTTCCCCAAGGCTTTGAATAAAATAACTAAAACCTTAGTTTGATTTACCGTGTATAAACTAACCTGTGATGTATTTTTGGTTACAGTTAATGATGTCAAATTACGTTGGAAACGTTTACGCGACAATTTTCGAGTGTCCATCAAACGGACCAAAGGATTGAATCTCAAACCTGGGTTACCTTTCGTCGAGGGTAAACCCTGGAAGTATCAAAAGGAAATGGAATTTCTTTTACCATTTATGCAAATTGGAGGGTAAGTTATTATAATGAGAACCTGATCATATTACAAAGCAAAAACACTTATTATTTTGGAATATTATTTATTTTTTTTATTTTATTATTTATTTGTAATTGTTTATAGGTATTCACTTAAAAAAATGTTGAATTTGGAACATTCCCCTCAAGATTATCAAGGCAATTATGATGATTGCAAGACAGACGGGTCTTCCAGTCCGTATAACAACATTTCATATGATTATGATGAAATGCCTGAACCAAGAGTGGAAGTTAAAGAAATGCCTGGTAATTATTCGAACGATGAAGGAGGTGTAGACGATGAACTCCTATACCCAGATGTGGAAATCCTAAGCAATGGAAAACACGAGCCTCTTCATAGAGTGGCGAAACGAGTGAAACGTTCAGCTGAAGCTGCAGCTGCTGCAGCTGCTAAGGAAGCCGACTCATCTGCTCAACTTAAACTTAATCAACACCATATGAATCACTATTACCACATACAACAACAACAACAAAGTCATGCAAAAGTACATCCTGTGGATTTATTCTTTTATAGTATGGCTGAGACAACCAAAGCTCTACCTCAAAATTACCAAGCAGAAATTAAACGTAGAGTATTAGAAATTGTGATCAAGGCTGAAGAAGAAATGAACAAAAATAAAAGTTATGAATAAACTTAAGTCTCCCAAGTCATCAATCATTAGACTTTATAAGTCTTCCTAATTTCGTAATCTTTTTAATACATTATATTGTGTTCATAGTTTATGGTTAGTAAGTGTATGGATGTTTATTTTTGTATCCAATATTGAACTATTCGACTTATTTTTACTAATTAAAGTCGAAATGTAAATTTATTGTTCTTTACAGTAATCATTATTATCATTATTATTATTATTATTATTATTATTATTATTGTTTGTTGAATTATTATGTTTAAAATCAAACCAATATTATTGTATTCAAACACTATAAGTGATAGTGTACAATTTTCCAAAATATTTCTTATCTATTATTACATGACTTGGAAATTAATAATTTACTTTTTATATAATCTTTTTTTGTATTTAAAAAATAACTATAAACGATACAATACACCAACAAATATTTTTATTTTTGTAAAATTAACATTCCGAATTTTGCCTCTAATGTGGCTTTGTGATAATAAATAGGTTTAATATTAATTAGTGACTATTATAGAAGACATGCATTCCGTTGTAATAAACAATGTGATTTAATTATTAGTGTAAGTTATAAACTATTGAAAACATAAGCTCATCATGTAAAAAACCAATTTGCTCAATCAGATTTTGTCCACTTTATAATTTATCGATTTACAGTGTACAAAACGAATATATTTAATTTAGACTTAAGATGGTTGATCCATTAATCCCTATTATACCATGACAGTTTTATTTATGTTTATATTTTTTTCTTGCAATTTGCATACCTATTTTGTTGTAAATAAAAAAACCATTAAGTGATAGTCAATTTGTTATTATTATTATTACGCAATAATTAAATAATATAAAAATATTAATATTAATAATTTAAAAGTTGAATGATAATAATTGTATAATACATAAACACACTGCAATGTTTTTGTTTTGACAATAAAAATAATTGCTATGCAATACATATAATATTATAATGATGTATTCAGTTTTGTTAATAATATGTATCTAAGGATATTTAAAAATATTCCTATAATCCTACCCAGTGAAGGATTAATGGATTTTGGTTTTCAATAAAAAAAAAAAAAATATGATTTTACTCAGGTATAAATAAAACCACTTTAAATTGGTACTTCTTAATATAGTCTCTTTATTTTAATTAATATATTGTATAATTCTATATTAGATTGTTATAACAAGTGATGGTAAAGTGATGGCTCAAGTAAATAATTGTTTTTGAATAAATGAAATGTATTTTTAACTATAGTTACTTTTATTGTCTATTGATATCAATTTATAAAAGAGTACCTAACATTTTAAGTTAACTGTGTTATGTTTATTGCGAATACCTAATCCCTTTAATTTAAAAATCTTGAGTTGTAGTAAAGATATTATGAAAAATGTAGATGAACAGAGTGAAATTTTATTGTCTTTTAGTATTGTTTAGAAAAAAATATTAATTATTCTCAAATATTAAAACTTAATTCTCAAACTTAATTTCAGGTATATATAATATATACCTACCTATAATTGCAAACATAATTGTATGAATTTAACAAAATTTATATTATTTTCAACAATGTAATTTAAACAAGATGATTCACTTGTTTTGCAGTACCTAAGTACTTTAAAATCCGGGAAAAGAATAATAAAACATCGAGCCACAAAGTGACATTAGTACATTTGTGTACATTGAAATCTGAATACTAAACCAGTATCATAACTGGATTATAACAAATGAATTTGATTTGATTCCTCATACATACAAATTAAATTATATAAATGTATAGAATGTGTTTTTAAAAATCTCTCCTTGAGCGCTATAATATACCTATGAGAAGTAATATATATATTTGTATTATGTTATTTGGAATTTTTTCCAATTAAAAGATTTACACAAGAGTTTGAATTATCTGGAACACATTTAGAGACAGAATTTTAGTTTTTTTTTCGGGTGTGCGAGCAAGTTTCAAGCAGGCCACTTTAAATAGTTCACCAAGCCATATACTTTTGAATTATTTCATTGATTATGAATCACAATCATAAATAGTTAAAAGCTATTTAAAATCTAAAAAATAATAAATATTTGATATTTTACCTTTGAAAATTACTAAGTAATGCATACGAATATTGAAGATGATAAATGCAGTAAAAAAAAAAAACAAACTACATAATATTTACATTATTATCAATTGTTATGTATAACTTTTGCACCAAGAAAACGTCCTAGAAAAAATAATTAATTGTATTTATATAAATGTATACCGAAGTGGATAAGTACAGCAAATATAATATCTACAACTTTTTCATTGAAACCATCGAAATTTGTTTTTCTATATTTTATTTTTATACAAATTTAAGGTGATAAATCTATCATAAATAATACAAACCTGCTAAGCATTATAGCTGTAAACTTTAGTTATATTTTTAACCATAGTATAGATTGATACAACAAATTCTTGATTTATAACACCTAATTAACTTTTCATTTCTACGATTTCTAGTAAATAAAATTATTTTTCCTTTTTGAAAGTGATATTTAAAGTTTAGACATTTATATATTGTTTGACATATTATCATTTAAAAAAAAAAATTGAAAACTTCATTAATTATTATGATACTTTTATTGGAAATAATACTTTTTCACAACACGTGCTATGTAAAGTTTTGCTCGTTTCGGTGCAATGACCAAGTATCTCTAGAGATACCTAGTCATTGCACTGAAATCCGAAATCCAAGGATCTCATTTTGTGTGATATTTGCCATTCTAACGGACAGATTTATCTGGTTATGGCATCAATTTGTAGACAACCTTTTCCATTACTTATCAGAAAATTTAAAACTATGAATTTTGAAAAATTATTTCTTTTCATTCATCTTATTTCTTAAATATTCTAGGAAAAAAATTCCGAAAATGTTAATACTTTCCCAGATAATGAGTGTCTATGATAGATTGATCACTCCGTGTAAAAAAAAAATTTTAATTATTTATATAATTTATAACTTTGTAATTTTATAAAACTTGTTTACGAAAAGAAAAGTCACTGTGCAAATTTAACGTCCCTTATAGAAACCAGGAAGGGGCTATTTCTTCCCGAACCACCCCTTAAATACGGCCCTGCATTGACCAGGTTTATTTGCTATGTTGATATTGATTTATTTTCAATTACATTCAATCATTTTATCAATGAGTAATTACCTATTCACAACTGGTCACTTACTGAATTTCCTATTCATTAGGTTCATATACCATTTCACACGTTATAAGGAAACTAAAGTTTCGGTAGGTACTTATGCAAAGACTGAAATGGAAAAGTAAATGTAATGTCTTAAGTAATGCGTAAGTACACTTTTAATTTCATGTTTTAAGAGGACACAAGACCCGCATGTGCTGTCTCCGTCTCACAAACTATTACGACCACTATGACATTAGTAACTAGTAAATTTGCGTTCAGTAGGGACAACTTTGCTGTTAGTTCAATTCACTATATTATTGAAACTATATAAGTTTAAATTTAAAGGTTAGAAACTAAGAACCTGCAGTGCAATCATATAGGTATTTCTCGAAGTTGTAATTTTTAAACGAAATACAAATATTTTCATATTGTGATAATTCACGTGGAAAAGTTAAAATCTGTGTGGAGCGTGGCTTTATACGGTTCAGAGACTTGGGTGGTAAACCAAGCAGAAGAGGGATATTTAGGAAGTTTCATAATGTGGTGCTAACGGAGGTTACTAAGAGTTAGCTGGACGGGGATCCGTACTAATGATAGCATATTTAATAAAATTGATGAATCTAGAGGATTATTAAGATCAATTAAAGAAATTGACAATTGAGTCTAATTGGACACACTTTAAGACATGAGGAGGAACCACACCACAGAATCTTAGAAGGACAAATTGAAAGTAAAAGAGGCAGAAGATGTCCTAGAGCAACAATAACAGTGGTGTAATTTTCGGCAGGGGGGATGAAATGTTTTTTTTTATTTAACCTATTACCATCCCCCCCTAAAAAAAAAAATAAAAAAAAGGTGAATAATATTGTTATAGATTTTATTAATCTAGACAAAATAATCAGACGAGTGTCGTCAATTCGTGATTAAATAATACTTGACCGCTCGGTGGTTCATTTTTTTACCACTACCATAATACAGTATATAGGTATATTTGTGCAATACTGCAATAGTAACATCTATGCTGCCCTGCCATAGTGAAAGGCAGTATCTACAAAAATATAAATGTTGAGAAAATGCGTTTTTCTTCTTTTTGAACTCTTTTGGTTGTTAACAATATTATTCAATAATGTTTTGATCATTACTTGTAGTTATTTACCTCAGAAATTGTTCTGGATAATTTTATTTTTCTAAAATTAAATATTTTTTGTTTATACCTTTTTTGGCAAGTTTAAGTAGACATTGTGATAGACAAAAATTATTACAATTACAATTAAAAAACACTATCAATCAATTCAACCATACATACATTTTTTCTTTTTTTTTTAAACATAACAACAAATTATAAAAACCATAGTTTAACCACGTATGTATTTAATTAATAGGAAACTACTTTTTTTTGAAAAAAATTAGATTTCATTCTTAGGAACTTTAATATTTATGATTAAAGGGTTGCCATATGTTCGGGAAAACCGGTACTGTCACTGGGTTTTTACTTGTTATACCAGTGTCCTGAAAATAAATTTTGGTTCGCCAATATGTCCCGGTTTTGAGAAAAATTAATAGTATTTAATTTCGACATTTTTTTCGAATATTAACTGTAATCGAGAGATTTGTAACTCCTTTATATATCTGTGGATAAAACCTTTTATGAGTAATATCCAAATTAGTTATTACTCTTTTGTTTTATAACAATTTTTTTGATAGTTAAATTTTTTTTAGTAGGTACACATAAATTATATAGCCATCTATGATTCAATCGTGTATTTAATCTAATTTATTTTCCATTTTTTCGATTGGTCCCGAATTTTTTTTATGAAATTATGACAGCCTTAGTTATGATTAACAAACAAAGTGTAAACTGATGTCTGATATGATTAATGGATCATAACTTAGGGCCGTTTTCACCAACGCACAGTGGTCTGAATTGTAATTTAGCTTACCTAAAATTAAATTTTAAAACTATGTTCAAAAATGATTTATACTATAGAATTATTGATAATTGTAAGTATACTAGAGATAATTTAATGATTATCATATAATTTTACCCATCACAAACCTAGGTTATGCATTAATAACAATTTCATTGTCATACGCGCGGTAATCTCGTTTGAAAGAGAAAGTATAGGTATATTAATTTTTTTTTTTTTTAAATTTAATATGGAACCTACAGAACAAGGCAAGCTCATAATTATAGCTTTTAAAATGTATTTGTACAAATTATAAAATTTTGATCTGGAAATCTTACGGTTTTTTTTTTTTTTTTTATATTCACCAAGTTTAAAAGCGTTAAACTTATTATTTATCACCTTTTACATTTTTTCACCGTTTACATGAATTATAGTATAACTTTCGAGCTTTTCAAATCCATAAGCAAAGTTTGCGGAAATGTTGGTTTTTATAAAATAATATATTCTTTACATTTATACAGCGCTATATTATGTTTGTATTTTGTCTATATTGTGTACATTGTATTATTATTATTATTATTATTATTTTTAAATTTATTTTTAACATGTATAATATATTACAATATTATTATATTGCAGGAATTATTAACGTAACGAAAGATCAAAATAAAATAAATATGGCTCATGAAGATTTATTCGAATTTTTACGACAAAAATGATCATCAAATCCAACTACTAATGAGTGTAGAAAATATTTAGCTGAATTTAAAAATAATATAAATTACATAATTTTAAAGAAGAAGTGGATTAAACATGTTACACATTGTGATATTATATTTGTTCAAAAAGAAAACCAATGGCTCAAAACTATTGTTCATAGTTATTCGTTTAAAACGTCTGGACGTCCCGCTAAATTATTTAGTGAACGTATCATTATCAACACGGATTAGTTTCAATTATTCTACATCGGATGACTAAGTGACAAATATTTAAGAATAAAATGGTCTAATATATAGTATTATTATCAATGCATAATTGTATTAATTAGACATTTTACGTTAACGTTAACCGTCTGCCTCAGTTTTATAGAATTTCTAAACTTAATAGTTGATTAAAAACCTATATGGAAAATTTTCATTCTGCGTCATTTAAAACACATAAATTGATACGTAACATACGAATAATGTAAATCTTTAGAAAGTACTTCTACCCCTCCCCCCCGCCCTACAGCCCCCTAACTAACGGGTCAATTGAAAAACGAATGCGAAATTCGTGTTCAGCGTCCTCAAAACCATTAGGTTTGATGTACCACACTATCATATCGGTAAAAATGTAAGGGTCATACAATTTAGGTACGATTCACACCACTGTGCAACGCAAACATTGATTTTTACACGGAGTTTAAATCGGCCAACCGTGGTCGGTTATCGGTCGGCCACAAACTCGGTTTGAGAACCAGATAAACGCCTTTTTTACGTTGCTGAGAACGGCTGAGAACTCGGTCCGTGTGTTACATACTGTTTAAAATATTAACGCGGTGCCTACTTTTATGATTCTAAAATACAAAAACCAACTGATTCCGGCCAACCAAAGTCGCGTACAGACTCATTGAAATATGTTTACTTTATGGAATTGTAAAATGTAAAATCAATTGTAAACGAATTTAAAATATTGGCATTCGATTATAAACGTGTGGTTACTGCTCACACTTGTTGGTCAGACAGTCTACGGTGTTACTAGACACACACACACACACACACACACACACACACGCATCTACGTAGGCGTGTACGCCGCCAAATACATTCGGTACACGTACAAGCTGATAAACTGCACAACGTGCGCTGCGGTTTTTTTTTGTTCTGGAACACACCGTTCACCGTTTATCTTGTCCAGTGCCGATTACTACGTAACCAACGGCTTTCCGCATATTGTACCGAAAATGTGCGCGAATCGATTCCCATCGGTTATTTCACCGAAAAACTATCCGGATACCCATTACTTCTTACGCGGCCGAGTTCGGCACGAAAAACCGGACAATTTCTGCGCGGGGCACATTTATCTAGCGGCGGAATCGCGTGCTATAATTTTCTAAAAAAAATACACGGAAACGGATAAACGCGGCACACAGATCAATAAATGTAACGCGGTTTTGTTTTTTAACCGCGCGCGTCCCATATATTAATGCGCGTAATACCGCTGCGTAATTCAATGTGCGCGGAGCCCTGCCGCACGAGTATACGGTTTTGGCGCGCGTCGCACATTAAATGTTGAGCTTTTTCAGGGTCAAAAGACGTCGAAACGTTTTTCGAGTATTTTTTTTCAAGTCGTCCGCTCACTCTGTTCGTTTCTATCGCGACTGAGAAACGGTACTTGCTCGGGTACGTTTTTTTTTTTCTGCAAATACCCACTGATGTTTGATAAAAAAAACATCATCAACGCAGATATAGGTATTCAAATGTTCAATATTGTTCCACAGATTGTTTAGAATTTAATATTACAATGACAATAGCAATAATAATAACGCCTATACCTACGCGCAATTTGTAATGACGTTGTTAATGATCCCGCGATGTACGATTTTTTTTTATAACACGGGTCCCCCCCACCTGTCAGACAATATTATACGATACACATTATTATGTCCGTGACGTTTATCATATTTTGTAAATTTTACAAGGGCCGCCAACACGATAGTGTTATCTTATGTTTATGTTTCGTCAAACGCGAACGAATTTTAAAAATCAGGATCTTTCGGACTTCGGCAGTGCACCTGATGAATTTATTCGAATGTTCGTGCTAAACCAACCGACTCGTTCGGCAATCGCGTAAATGCCGGTTGGCCGGAAGTTTTCCATGTGCACTGATTTTCGACATCGGCCGGATTCGAGCAATATGACGTGGTCATGGAGTGTTTTGAAACAACAGCAAGCCGCAGAATTTACTGCAGATAAGTTCTGGAGCGCCGTAAACGTGTGGAACACTAAGCCGCATCTGTTGATAAAACACTTAATTGGCGCTATACGGCTTGTCTCCGGTTCATTTGCCGAAGACTCGAGCAAATTGTTCGATTTACTGGCCGAACAACCGGCGAGTTTGGCAGAAAACCCATCGGAAACATTTCAAAAGTTGGGTTTGTGTAATGGTGATGACGTTCAAGTAGAAGTATGGAAATTGTTAACCAAGAAACCCGTCGAATGGAATGATTACTTGCGTCTAAGTGTTTTTGGTAAATGTGACATTTGAATACATACATTATCTGTGGCTAAGTTTAACGTTTAAACACGTTTAAAATTCTTTATTTTAGATAAAAGAAAGCATACAGCCGTGTTCTATGATTTTACTCCGAAAAATGGAAATAGCATGGAGAAATACGCGTATGGTATTCATTTTGCTAACGATCAGTTGGAATTGTGCTTTGCTGTGCCAAAAAATCAATGTAAAGACGAGAAAACATTACATTGGTTAACGGATGTATTTTTCCCAAAATTTGTTAATTGGGCTATAAATAATAAAGGGTCTAAGCCAACAGTTTCATCGTTGTCACATATTTGTGTTAAAAAATATTGTCACTTGTATAATTGGATGAAAGAAAAATATGCAGCGTCATTAATAGAAGTTAGTTGAAACGATAACTTTACTAACACACATTTTTTTTTATTAATTTAATGAAATCATATATCAAGGTTTGGACAGAAGTAACTGATCCTAAAAAGTATGTTCATAAAGACATTGCAACAGCAACGTATCTTATGTTATTGTGGGCTGATACCAAACCAAGTTTTGTTGATATGGGCTGTGGTAATGGTTTACTTGTGTATATACTTAACAGTGAAGGATATAAGGGAATTGGTTTGGATGTTAGATCCCGGAAAATGTGGGATCAATATCCTCTCACTACAGTCTTAAAGGTAGTATACAATTTTATAATTTTATTTTACACTAAAAATTTTATAAGATACAAGATTATAGCTTGTTATAATTTAGTGCATTTTTAATTTTTACTACAGGTAACCAGTGTAGACCCTTCATCGCCTGAATGTAAATTTCCAAAAGCTGATTGGATTATAGGCAATCATTCAGATGAATTGTCACCTTGGGTACCAGTGATTGCTTCACGGAGCAATTATAATTGTAATTTTTTCCTCCTTCCATGTTGTCCTTTTGAATTTAACGGTTCACGCTACCAACGCCAAGATTCATCCGTTAGTCAATACCATGATTACTTAAAATACATAGAAAAAATCAGCATAAATGTATTCAAGTTTCATGTTAAAGTAGACCGTCTTCGTATACCCTCTACAAAACGAACCTGTATCATTGGTTGGTCAAAAAATTATTTGCCTCAAGAAATGGATAAAGTTTTGCAAGATGTAGAAAGTTATGCAAATTCTAAATTTAATAAAAATGTTCAATTTGTACCTAGGCCTCCTGAAGAAAGAGTCAGGAATTGTACAAAATTAGATAAGGACTTGGTGAGCAGTGTTGTTGATAGTGTAGCTAGTTTTTTAATAAAACGTGGTGATGGGTGGAAATGTCGCATCACATTAGGTGAACTAGCAAAACATATCGATGATGAAAGACTGAAAAAATTAAAAAAAGAATGCGGTGGTTTACAAACATTGTTAAAGAATCACAGATATATTTTTATAGTTGAGAAAGGAACAGTTGGGTTTAGAAAACCAGTGAAAGACAGTGGCAAAGTTTGGAAGAAACATATGTGTTGGTTTTATCATAACTATCCAGATAAATGTCCATTAAATGAAGACGAGTGTTGTAATATACATTAATACATTTTGTTGTATAGTAATTTGTTTTTGTTTTTGTTGGAAGTTTAAATTTTTATCACAAAATTTGATATTAATATATATATATTTTTTTATGTTGATTATAGTTTATACCAGACTATAATGAGTTGTGATTCTTAATACTTAATACCAATAAATGTATAATCAAAAATAATCAAATTCCGTTTTTTTTTTTTTTTATGTTACTCAGGGATGAAGACTATATGGACTATTTATTTTTCTGATATTTATGATACATTAAAATTTCCAGGAAAATAAATTCTACTGAATGGCTATTTTAAAATTTTCTGAAAATAATAAAATAAAGTTATTATTAAGTTAAGTTTAATTAAAAAAAAAAAAAAAAAAATTTAATTCATATATAAATATTTGTAGTTCCTCTCATTCCTATGAGAAATATAAATAAAATAAAACATAATTTGATTATCTTTATTATCTCCAGAGATATTTAAGGGGACAGCCTGTATATTATCATAGATTAAATATACTATACTAGTATATTTAATCTATGATATATACATATTGTGTTGGGTGCCAATAAAATATTTTAACAAATAAATATAAGGTGCTCTATTTAAACAGTTAATTATTTTTATACATCTTAGACATTTTTAGAGACAAATATTTTTTATACTCATTTTGAAATACATGTTAATTTTATTTGTCTGAAAACTTCAATCTATATTTTTGTAAGTATTTATTGAATTATTTTTAAGTAAATAATTTAATGTTAAAGTAAAATTTAAGAAGACGTTACACACACATCTGTTGTTTTGTCTTATAAACACACAATAAAATTAAAACATGCTTACACAGATTATACAGAACTTGCTTAATTTTGGTATTAGAGTAAAGACACCTATTTTAAATTTAAAAGAGAACAATATTCCGGAGGGCAAGATGTGATTTATCCATTTTCTTCAATTATAACAGTCAATTTACTGATTATAAAAATAACACATTTGTCAACGGTTTTTTAATTCACCAAAACTTAAAAAAAAAAAATAACTTTCAAAAATGTAACATCTGGCCCTCCAAAATATTGTTTTCTATTAATTTAATAATAATGCTTTTAGTCTAAAATCAAAATTAAGAGAGTTCTGTGTAAGCATGTTGTTACTATACCTTATGTTTGTAAGACAGAAACACAAATGTAAGTGTAACTTCCTCTTTAGTAATTATAACCCGTATAGGGTATACATATGAATAAAACTAGAAAGACTATTAAAAAAAAAAAGTAAGAATGTGATAAATGAAACATTATAATATATCATATATATTATAATATATCTATTGGTATTAAAGTTGTGTTAATTATGATTCAATATTTCTAAAATGAAACACCTGTAGTAATTTGTCCTGTATATTTAATATTACAGTTGTGGGTAATATTTAATTAAGTTATTGGATGTTTTATTACTGTGTTTACTCAGCATTATTTTTTTTTGTCTACATATTTGAATTATTAGTTTTGTATAGATAAAAATTGGTTTAAAACGGTTTTGAAACAAATAATTTTAATAATTAGTTTGTTTATATTTTGATTAGTCATTCATTATTCAATTTTAAATTTGACTGTGATATATGAACACAAATAAGACTAAAGTATGTGAAACGGTACCTAACTGTTACTAAACGTGTATGTATTGTTTGCCACCATTGCGAACATAAGTTATTCAAAATAAATAGCAATATTGTGCAATGCAAGTTTAAACATTTTTCATGATAGTACAAAAAAATTAAGAAAAACAAGATATTTTTCAGTTCAACCTACAATGAAATCACTTTTGCTATTAAAACCATATAATTTATGATAGTGAAAATAAAAAAAAAATAATTGAAATCCTAAAATATTATTGTTTTAACATTTATTAATAATTAGTTTAACATCAGCTGTATAATTCTCCAATATTTTTCAACAATTTAAATAAATAACTATTACTAACTTTATAATCGTATAATAAAACAGCCATGTTAGTGTAATAATTGATCCATATAAATACCTAGATTAATTAAATAACAAATTAACTATAAACTGGCATTAAATAAATTATAAAGATCAAAGGTAATTAAAAAAAAATATACACAAAGTGTGTAATATAAAATTAGAATATGAGCATATTCCGTAAATCTAGTAAATAGTCAGATCAAATTATTGTCCTAGAACACTTAAATATAACTTATGGATACTATACATTTATTATATTAAGAATATAAATAATGGTCCTATAGTTATAATCATCACCACTAAATAAGTGCTGTCATAAAAAAAATTAAAAACTATATTAAAAATAATTTTGATGATAATACTATTACATTTGTAGCTATTAAAACAATACTGTTATTATATAGTAAATATGAAAATTTAGGTTTCTATACAATTTTGGAAAAAAAAAAAAAGTATATTTATGACAACTTAAAATTTAAAAAAATAAGTTTTAAATTATTGCTAGACAAAGATTGTTGAAGAAAATTGGTAACAAATATAAATATACAAATTTATATATTCTTCTTCTTTGACAACTTATCTACTTATGTTAATAAATAGTAATAGAAAAACAAAAGAAATATTCATGACTGTATCGCAATGCTGGAAACAGGTCGCGACAACTGAGTAATATCTCTGTATTGGGTAAATACACATATCTACAAGAGAAATATTTTCATTATGTTAATTAACCATTTAAAATGAATATACAACTAATAACCTTGTCTTTTAACTGTTGTGCTAGTTGCAAGGCGACCGTGAAGAGGACAAGGACTTCATTTAACCACGGTACAGAACACTCAGCTTGGTATGTGTCATACTTCATTGCACCATTCAAACTAGACAATTGATAAACAGCGAATATTAGTTTATGGCTCTGTATGTAAAAACTAATAGCCAAATCTTCCGGTAAGTTGGGTGTCAAACACTTCTGAAACAAACGTAACCATTGGGTTAGCAATTTTATAACATCTCTGATATTTTAATAAGTAGGCGCTACTTACCATGTTTCTACTTTTAATTAAATCATCAATAGTTCGTTTACGCGGGACTATAAGACTTGTACGACCTCTTTGTAAACAACCCAATAAATTCCGTAGTATATGTAATACTTCTTCTGAGGAACTATACAATAATCAGCACAAATAAATATATTTATTAAATCCTATTGTTTGATAAAACTCTGTAATTACTTAAAAATTGTTTCCTTGTCTATTTTTTCAATTTGTAAAATGGCTTGTCTTAAATGATTTCCTGCATCTTGAACCTGATGTAACTTCCATGGGCAATCGTTGCGGATGTTGGTCCGATACATAATTTGCTGTTGATTACGTTGAACTTTAAATTGTATATCCTATAATGGGTTTTAAATAATTAAAACTAATCTCATCAAATATTGCAAATAATTTCTGTTCAAAAATAATGTTTATAATATAGATAAGTAAAATAATTTTTTAAAATTTGAATGATAATTGGTAAAAACATTTATAAGATGGGTGGTGTAAATTTGAAATAAATAATAGTTATTTTATGATTATAAGAGGAGCGTGGAATGTATTTATTTTTCTATGATGTTAATTAATTTTTTTCTGCGAAGAACTTTTCAACTAGAAATTTTGTTTCGATTTTCAAGCGTAGCATCTTTTATTGACTGGGGTGGTACTTTAAAGAAGTAATTTTTAGATTTTCTTTGGGGTAATCATAATAAATTGGAAAAATCCAGAAAATTTAAGCACCTAAACCATAAATAATGTAGTTATTGATTACAAGTTAGACTACAAATTTGTCAGTAGGTCGCATATTAAACACTGGGCTCATTAATTGGAAATAATATAGAATACAAATTTAAGTTTAATAATTTGATTTTAAACTAACACATAGCTGATACTTTTTAGATGAAAATATGTTTTATAAACCGAGTTTATATAAAATAACTTAAATGGTACACGTACACGATTTTAAAATAGTTTTTATGTAATATTTGGGTCAGTAACTATTATATTTATTTGAGTTGAGGGGTTTAAATTTAATTTTATAAATGAAATGTAGATTACTTTAAACTGGAGAAACTATACCTAGATTATGTTAGATAAAGTTATGTCCATTTGTTTGAATACTTAACAGTTTTCAAACTCGAGGAATACCGGATGAGTACATACTTATTGTGTAATTTGCTGGGTAACACACGACCTTTAAAGGGTAATTCAATTAATAATATTGATACGTAATGTGTGAACTGTAAATGTTGCATAGTTTTAAGAGAAGAGAGAATGACGGTAGAACATTTTTTTACCGCCTGCAGTATGGTGTCGCCGGATATAGATACGATGCTTTTCAATTGGTCAGGCGATGTTGACAGGATGTACCTTTCCTGTTTCACCTGGTTGTCGTTGTCCCACGACGGAAATCGTCGTACGCATTCCTACAACCAAACGGGAATGTTTATAACAACAGCGGGGGGAGGGGAAGGAAGAAAATAAGTCGTTACTCACGTTAAGTATGATGTTCAGCTGGTGTAATATCGAGTGTACCTCTTCGTTCAGTACCCATTCGAACTCCTTTTGCTGTGGGGTAAGACGGTGAGACCATTATTATAGAAACAAAAAAATACAATAGATATTATGTTTCGTTGTACGCGGCAACAGAGGCGAGCGAGACAAATACACCTACCAAACACTGATGTTCCAGTTTTTCGCAATCTGCCATTGTTTTGTGTTTACCAAATCTCGGTTCTCTGGGATGCGTTCGAAAACAAAGTAATAACAATGTATGTTTAGATGTGTCCCGAGAGACGACGATCAGCTGCTCGTACTGACGCCGATGCTCCACTTGTCTGGGTTGTCGTTAGCGGACGTCTGTCGACGCGTGCAGTCCATATCGATCGAGGTCGGCCGCCGAGTACTTACTTATCGTCACAATGTCGCGGTATACTCGAATGCGGTAAGCCCGCATACGCGAGAGATTACCACCGGCGACCGCGGTCGGTACATTACCGCCCTGGTACCACGTCCGGGGTCGTTGGCGAAACGCGGTGGAAAACGTAAGGTCTGCGCACGTTGTCGTCGTCGTGCTGTGGGGCGGGCCGGTCGACGTGCGAAAGCGGTGGAGAGACGGATGAAAAAAAAAAAAAACGCGGCCGATACCGCGATACGAGTTTCGGTGACGGACAACGCGATTACAACTGTCGCGGCTGCGCGACGGTTGTGATAACAGATAAGGGATGGGCGCTGAACAGCAGCTGATCACCGGACTGGTTAAACACTCGTGATAACAGTAAACAATAGTAAATAATCATATTGCAAAATTTAAATTTTCTTTCTTGTACAACAAAATTGGCGTGGAAAAAATAATGGGACAAATTCATAATGACATCTATACAAATACAAATAATTTATCCAGTGATAAGCAGTTGTCTGAAAGTGATAAGAACCGTTTTTCGGTAACGCGGCCCGGTCGCATATTAACATATTATACTGCACACGAAATAATAGCCGATGTGATTTTGCGTAACAATTTTATTTATTCTTTTAACTCGCTGCTCCTTTCCACGAGCTTGCTTTTTTGGGCAGCTTCATTAAAGTACCTAGTATTTTGTTTTCTCGTTTTTGAAATATATTTTTCATTGAATATTGTTTAATTTGTAACCTGCTTCGTGTTTGATGATGATTCAATAAATATCTAATCAAATTAGGGTTCGACTTTCGCTCGCGAATAAAGGTGACCGAAGACACCTAGACGGAGCAATAAGTTATAGTAGGTTACCATTCAAATATTAAAAATTTAAGTATCTATAGCTAACGAAATTACGCTTTCGGGCAGTTATTATTTATTCTTATAATCTTATCAATTGTTATTCGATTTTATTTTCGAAATACTGTAGCATTCTCCATTTTTCCTCCCTCTCCCATGGGTGACATTAAATTTTTTTCAGAATAATTTTTTTAGAAAGCATTTTAAAATTAATTGTAGTATTGTTGTTCTTTAGTATTAAAATATTAAAAATTTAAGTAAAGTTAACGGAATTACGCTTCTACAGTTATAAATTATTCTCATCATTATTTGTCTTTATCATTTTCGAACAACTGCAACACTTTCCGTTTCATCCTCCCCCCATCTTCCATAAGTGATATAAGATTTGTTTTATGCATTTTAGGATTATTTTCAGAAAAATGTATTGGTAAAATATAAGATCTGGACAATTTTCACTCCCCCCCCACCCCTCAAACTGAATACATTTAAACCGCTTTCCTATGAAAATCATCTTAAAATCAAAGAACACATTACTAAAATCGGAGTAAAAACCCAATATTGTTGGAGTTATAATGGAACACATATACTAATACATTTTAGTAACGTTTTTACATTTTACTAACTGCGTAACTAAAATGTATGATCAATGTCGGGATGGGCCTATGTGGAAATCGGGAATTTCTCAGTGGGCCCCTATCCGTACTTAATTATGGGGCCCTTGTTCCTCGGTTCCAAGACCCTTATTTTTAGTTTGAATTTTTTGAATCCTAATTATCTTTTAACTAAATTAACTATTCGTATGTTATGATCTTTTTTTTTCATTTATTAGACCCTTGAATTCAGTCCCCTGTTATAGAAAATCCGCTGCTGCTTTGTGGCGGTGCCGTTGCTGTTCACTAGATTGCACTCCAGTACTCCGCTGTTTACCGTATAATATATAAATGCCCGATTTTCACCAATCACCAGTCGGTCTCCCTGAGCGGCTGAGTCCATACAAGCATATAGGAGCGTATAAACTTGCGAGCCTAATATTGTACTATTATACTGCATTTGACTTGACATTTCTTTTTCTTTAAGACATGTGCTGCAAAATAATTATTTGAATTAACAGTTCAACAAATAAACGAATAAATAATAAATAAACGATTTGGTTTAATAATTCCCTCCACCGTGCTTTACGTTTACTGCTTAATTTTCAACCATTTCCCTTATATTTAAGTTACCCGGCTGCTGTTACTTCTCCCACCTATAACTATGTACCTATGTCATATAAATTATTATTTTATAACTCGTTAGTTGTTAACCACCACGGTTTTTTACCGTTTTTGTAAATTTACTGAATATTCGAGAAACTTGAACTTACATTGGTAATAAAAAAAAATTACTACATTACGCTTAATTTGTTTTGTTTTTTAGTCGCATTACAATTTATGATAAACCTCGTGCAAAATGCTCAAGTTTTGTTGCTCGGATAAAACAATTTGACCCACATAAAACCAAAAAAAATTATAGGTCAATATGCCTATATAGGTCAGTATGTCTGAAATATTATTCTATAAAACGACTATTAGCAATATCGGTTTTGCCAAAAGGCCGTAAATTATCGAAAAATGCATTTTTATTAGGGAAAAACGCCGTATATGATTAATGAAGATACCAAATTTTTGCTAAGTGTGTAATAAAAAAAAATAATTTGCGGCCTTTATACTTAGTATAGATTGTAGTTTTAATTATCGTAATATTGTGACCAATATATCAGTAAAATATAATAAAATTAAATCTTCTTCTATGCCGGGTGATTCATTTACGTGGTACAATCGCCGTGCGCCGTACCGCCGCACAAATTAATAATGATACTCCACTACTCTCTTCCAACCACCCAAACTTAAAAGTGGAATATCTCGGCAACGGATTGACGGAAAACAAAAATTTCAACATTAAAATTTATTTTAACCAAAACTCCATCTATTTATAGACTTTTCAATATAGGTTGTCGTTTGAAAATCATAAGTAGTTAGTGGTTTTACCCCCAAAAATAAGGGCGACAAAAAATAATATAAATATAAAATTATACAGCTGCTTGTTTCTTGAATGTTCTAGAAAAAAAATTCCGAAAAAAATTATTACTTTCCGAAATAACGAGTGTACCCACTCAAATTAATCATCTGGTATGTATAAAATAACTTGTCCTGACTGATTCATCATCGCCTAGCCCAAACTACTGGACGGATCGGGCTGAAATTTTGCACGCAGATAGCTAAGATTATTTCATTCGAATTATAACAAGAAAAACAAAATCGAAAATAATATGAAATGTTATTGCGGTAAATTTGCCCGTTTTACCTATTTTTGTTCTTTCAATTGTGAGGAAAACTATCGGGAAAATCAAAAAATTGCCACTTCTATGTACCGACCACCATTCAATTTTCTTTCGGAACCAACGCTTCTTTTGAAAATCGGAGAACGGTTGCTGGTAAAAAGTTGTTAACAGATAGAGAAAAACACCGCACACATAATTATGGAAAAACCAATACGCATTCCTCGCTGCGTTCAGAATCTAATCGATTTTTACGAATTAGCTATAACGACGTTCCGACGGAATCGATACTTCCCCCGGATTATACGGTTTCATAATATTAACGTTATTATTATTACAATAATTTATCTTTATAAAATAAACGAAAACGGGAGCTTAGCCTCTCGAAATGTAATATTTAATGACTGATGTCTAATAATGAGCTTAATATATACGACTTTTGGGGCGTAAAGCGCGCGAGGCTCTGTTGGCGTGGAAACAACGTTAACCCTCTCGAATTTCCGAGTTGCGGTCTTCCAAGATAATCGGATTGAAACGACGACGACGACGAAATAAATTATTATTATTCATCTGACATAAAAAACGAAAAAAAAAATAATAAAAATAAAACGACCGATGGGCTCGGCTCCTGCGGTTTCGTTTCAAAACAAATAATCGCGTGTATCTGGAATATTTTACTTGTACGTTGTTTGGAAATATACGGCGGATGTACGATTTTTAACCTATTCTTAAAAAAAAAAAAAATAATAAAAAGATTAGGTTTTTACTAATTTAGTAAAAATATTTTATCAATATTTCAGTTATACACGTGTACAAGAGGGGGTTCTAGGGGTTCAAACTCCTCTGAAATTTCATGAAAATTTTGATGAAAGTAGATTTTTAATTGAGTCTCATAAGTGATTACTGTCAAAGAGGAAGATAAATTTTTATTTCATTACTATATAGTATAGGTATTAGGTGTACATTATTATTATTGTAATTTCTAAATGTTCGTAGTTTTTCTGCTTTTGGAAAATTATAACTGATACGGCGATATTGCATAGTTCGCATTACCATCACAATTACGTTATAATTTAGGCTGTATTGACTAAAAAATATTAAATATAAAATTTAGTAATAGGCATCTAAAAGGTTAAAAATGAATAATATAAAATATTGACATTTTTAATGAAAAATAAAGAATTCTGTAATTGAAAGTATGTAAACTTTTATATATATATACAGATATATATGTTACGGTTAATGTTGTAGAAATCTGTTAATGTCGTTATGTTTAGACTTTTCGGATACGAAAATCGATTTTGCGCTGTTAGTTTTAATACTGGAATGTACGAGCCTATTATCAAACTTAAAGGTAAGAGCAATGTCGGTTTTTGTACGTCGGTTTTTTCTCGGTGTTTTAATTTTCAAGCGAGTTACAAACATGTAAAATATTACAGTTTAACAATCGCCGAATCTGGATTAAAAATTAAAATTAAAAATATCGAGAAAAAACCTACGTACAAACACAAACAACCAGGGTCGGATTTGGACTTTCGGATGGCCGGGGCGAATCTTTTTTCAAGGCCCTTAGCGGTAAAAAAATTAAAAACTTGCAAACTTGCACGTTATAACTATCTACCTAAAATGTATTTATTTCCAGTTTGAAATATTGCTGTTCATGTATCATAAATTTCAATATTCATTTAAATATAGCAATATTATTATAATTTTATTAAGTTCGTAACATTTTATTTATTACAATTTTGAAATCAAATCTTCACACTGTTACATTAATTATCTCATAACGAAAAAGACGGACATACTTCGCACATGGATGCAGCCACCGTTGTTGGTGAGAAGTTGGGAAGGTAGAATATAATACCGGTAGTATAGTAAGGAGAACCCTAGAAATTGTTAAAAAATTATATAAGTAAAATACAGTCGGTACTTCTGTAGCATTAAAAATTAATACCGTGCACAGGGGCAAAAGGCGGCAAACCAAACTATTATGAAATTAATACATTATACTAAGACTATAATATAGAGGTAGTTTTAATGAGTAAAAATGAGTAAATTTTTAAGTACACTCATATTATAATGTATAAATACAAAGTATACTCCTTTAGTTACATATTTTAAATTAAGGTACATTAATAGTTGTAATATTTATTATATAAATACTTACCTTGTCCTTGAAAATACATTTTATTAAAAAAAATCAATTGATTTACAGTTGGACATTCATAGTCTTAAGTGAAATAACAGGTACCGCGCCTGGACATATACGAAAAGTAATTTCCTATCATATGTTGATAATTTTTATCTGTTGTCGAGATAAAATTTAATAACATAATAACATAAAGAATAATTATTTTCAGTTATATTATTGTTTTATTTGATGTAATATCCATATGAAGGGCTACGGGGAAGAACGATAATAGTCA